TGTCTGTGTGTCTATATATATATATATATATATATATATATATATATATATATATATATGTGTGTGTGTGTGTGTTGAGAGCTTGTTGAGAACTGCATGGATTTTATCCATAATGTGAATTATGGATAAAAGTGTCTTCCAAACACAGAAATAGAAACACAACAGAAATTTGCAGTTAATTTGAAGCTTTCTAAGAGCATTATACCAGCTCACAAGCATGGTGGTAATAGCACCACGCTATGAGTCTCTTTAGCTGTCAGTGGTACTTGTGCACAATAGCAGAATGAGTACTACTGCAAAATTAGACCCCACCTCAAACCACAGCTAGATGCTTAAGCATACGGAATGGCTCCAATCCCTTACCCTAACACAGACAGACAAATTGGTGCAGTACTAATTAACTCCAAATTGGCAACATTTCCAGTTATTTCTAGTTTTGCATGTTTGCTATGAAAATAGCATCATGGTCTCACACAGTAGAGCTTGAAAAAATGTTTGCCGGAAAAGAGTTCACTACAATCTTTATTTAATGCTGTCTCTGTCCTCCTTTTCCCATTTTTCTTGAAAAATGTCTGTTCCTTCTGTCTTATCCTTTCTCTCCTTTGTGTCTTTGATGCTTCATGCCTGGAAGGTGCCAGGCCTTTCCATGAGATGTTCTATCTCTTGCAGAGCACTTGTTTCAAGAACTGTTCCTCAAAAGGTATTTGTTTCCATTTTTAATTTCTGTCACCTGCTGTCAAAATAAATTCCTTCATTTTATGGCCCTTTTAAAAACAGAATTATATTTTATTTCCTCATACCAATAGTCTACCCTTGTTCTTGTTATTCCCTGCCACTCCAATTTTTCTAGGTCGTAAGTGCAATATACATCAATGAATCTCCGGCTGGGTGGTTTAGTTTGTTTTATGTCTGTTGATGACCCTCTTTTAGCAGCAGTATTAAATTCTTCATAGAATGCAAGTGCCCACTTTGTAATATAAAAATGTAGCTTTACAAGCACACTTAAATTGCACGTTACCCGATGAAATACCCAAATTAATGGCTGTTTTATGGCAGGCAGGTCAAACTTTGTCAAACGCAGATAGTTGGCTGAATGTCTCATTGCTAAAAGTTGCACATAATGCATGGGAAGCATCAGTATGTATTAATTACATCAGTCTCATCAAAGAAATTATCTGTTCTAAATCTTCAAAGATCTTTTTGTCTAAAGAGGAAACTATAAGTTCTAGGCCTAAACTTTATAAAAGGGACGAGAGGAATATGTTAGGAAAATATATTTTCACACAATTGTAGATTGATTGATCTAGTCACAAAACAATCAATAATAAAACTATTAGTAATTATACAAGTATCACGATTAATTACCAAGACATAAACATAAATCTATCTACTTAAACTGAATTCTCAAAGGTCTGGAGAATGGTTGTTCTGGTTTTCTTTAGCTGATAAAAAGTTTAACTCTGTAAAAATAGACTTTTTATCACGGTCTGAGGTTGTTTTGGACCAAAATGCAAACAGTCGCTTGGGCTCAGCAATTGAAAACAGATCTTCTTTAATTAAGGCTCAGAGATCAGCACTTACAAGGTCGTAGGAGATTCACAGAAGAGAAGCATAATCCAAAGAGTTTGGGGAAAGATGTGACAAACAAGGTATACATGAAATGAGGAACCAGCGAAGAATAATTAGAGGAACCCGGTAAATAAGCAGGGAGAGAATGAGAGTGGAACAATGAAGCAGAAGCTAGGTTAATCATAAGAGAAGTGGAAGCAGGTGCGGGAACTGGCTGTGGAGACTGAGGGAATGAATGGTTACTATGGCAACAAGAACTAGGAAACACAGGGACACGAGGGAACTAAACTATAAGAAAACCAAAGGGAAACTAGAATCTAAGGATAACGTTATCTGATAAGGAAGAGCAGGGAAGCGAAGACCTAGAATTACTATAAACTAAAACGTAAACAATAAGTGGAACTAAGCCTAGTGTTGGGATTATAATTATTGATTAATTAATATTTATCAAGAATTATAATTAAAAATCATAATTTGAGAAAATTTATTTCTTAACCAAAAATCCTCATTTATGAATCGAAATCAGAGATGTCCTCTGTTGTTGTAATTGTGGCTCAAAGCCGTTGATAATTACAATTATTAAATTCTCAGTAATAGTTGATAACTATTATTAGATGTCACTGTTTAATCAACTGTTTCTGCCGAAACGTGGGGAACATTAATCTTATTTTGACTGACAAATCACTCTTGCACAAAATAAACACAAACACCTTCGCTTTATCTACGTGAATATTTATTAAATCAACATCCCTGATACAATTCGCTCTTCCGATTCAATAATCTTCACCTAATCAAACATGCAAAGTTCTACACAAAAAGGGTAAAATATCTAACTAAACAAAATAAAACAACATTGAGTGTGTATGAGATCAAACCAGCAGTTATGGCAAAATTACAAGAGGAATATGGTGTTGAACGAAGCTTTGTGAGCCCCCCAAAGTCTAGCTCAATGGGACACAGGCAGTCATAAAACTTCCCCCAAGCAAAGTTGTACACCCAGAGGACAAAGGATAATAAAACTTTTGCCGGCAAGGTAGTAAAGCACGAAGTTGAAGACAAAGAAAATGGTTGATTTTCACCATAAGGTTATTATAGCAGTCCAGTTTCACAGCGGACCTGCGCTCAGGTGTCCAGACAGTAAAAACACAACTTGCGAGACTCGGCGGCCTCCGAAATTCAACAACAATCAAAGTTTCAATAAAATGCTGCATGCACATACAATTCAGAACACATTAGACTATAAGTGGCGATTCTAAATCGCTTAACGTCCAACTCTATCCTGCCCACGTTATTCCTAATAAAGAAATAAAATAAAAGGATGGATTTTACTTGATGTTGTCTCCTCTGAGCAGAGGGAGCGAGAGAGAGGGGTTGAAGAGTTTCCACGCGTCCGTGGATGCTCAGCAAAGCAGTCCGATTTCGTCCTTTGTGGCCTCCTTGGCAGAAAGGTGAAAAATATGACGGACCGTCACTAGTCGACTGGAACAAAAAAAACAAGGAGGATATCTCCTTGAAGTTAAACCCATGTCTTCCATCGGTAAAGTTGAAAACTTACAAGCCTTCTTATTCCTGTAAGCTTAATTCGCTTAGTTTTCTCGTTGACCAACGGGGAGAATGAATGAAAGTCCACATAGGATTTCTTCTCCAGAATGATGCGCTTCAGTTGCGTGGTAACCGCGTCTCGGTCTCTAGCTGAAAAGCAATGGTGGGCCGTCTCATACTCTGTTATATAGTTGACTGTGGCATCAGAGCTGCGACTCCCCCGTCCTATCAGCCGCGGTGCCCGCTGGGATTTGTAGTAGCGGACTGTCCTGGGATACAAAATGGCCGATGATGCCGGAAGGCATACTGGTGTCCAGCAACTTACAAATGGTCCAATATTTAGCAAACAAAATGGTCCAACACTAGTGAGGAAACAAATAACTATAAACTATAACCTGTTGGAAGGAACTTAAACAGCAGAGACTAATACGGAGAACTATACTAGAAATAAGGCTGGGGAGAATTACTAATATAAAAGGGAAATGGACACTGAGTAAATGATAACTGAAGGGGATCTAAGGATAAGAGTAGGAACTACTAGGGGAACTGCAAAGAGGAAAGGCAGAACAAAGTAAACAGAAAGAATCAATAAACACAGCTATTAAACCAATAGAAACATTAAACATAAGATCTAGAAAGAACAAAATCTAAGGACATGTAAACAAACACAAGAATCTAAGCAAATATAAACTAAACCAAGTAAACTAGTAATCAAAGGAACAGGGAAAATCTTTAACGGCAAAGTAAACAAAAACAAAGAACAAAATGGCAGATCCTGACACTTTTGGTTTAAGCTTATGATTTGGATTTTTTAATTACCTGATTTAATTTTGGGGAAAGTTTGGAAAAGAAATAAAAAGCTCATCAGAGCTGACGGAGAATCTTTGCACAACATTTGTTCATCTGGCATGAAGGCAGTACTATTTTTATATTTCTTGCAACGTCACATTAAAAGACTTGTACGCACTTGCTCCTGTTTTCACCTCTATTTAGAATTTCCTTGATAGTTTCCCTTTATGCTGTGCAGCATGAGATCCACAAAACTACTGAAACTAGTGATGACACAGCACAGCCAATTTTAATCAATGCCATGTGTCATTAGGGTAAGCATCAGGAAAACCTCCAAACTCCGAATGTTTGCTTACAGGCCAAAAGCTGTCAAACCACTTCACTGATGGCAAATATTTTTATACAACAGGGATAGTTCTGTGCCAGCTATGTAGTGTGGAGAGGGCTAGACATGTCGTGACTACAGCTTACACTTAAGTAATAAATTCTGCCCCCCTGGCTGAAATTCTTATTGCTTTAGTTTCCTCTGAAGCGTGTTGCTTCACCTTACTTGGTCTGAGAGTTAGCTGTCTATTAGGTGCCTGAGGTCATTATATCATTAGACGCTCATAAAGCATTAGACAGAATTGAACATACTTATATGCTGGGTTCTCTCAGGCGCTTTGGGTTCGGACCTTCTTTTCTTGCTTGGATTGAGATACTATGTAAGTGTCTACAAGTTTCAATTTGGGCCAACAATACTATATCTGAGTATTTTGCTCTCCTTCGGGGACAAGGCAGGGATACCCTTTACCTTCATTTCTTTTCAATATGACTGCACAGTGGCCCGGTTGGTAGCACTTTTGCCTTGCCTGCAAGAAGGTCCTGGGTTCGATTCCCGGCCGAGGGTCTTTCTGCATGGAGTTTGCATGTTCTGCCCGTGCATGTGTGGGTTCTCACTGGGTACCCGGGCTTCTTCCCACAGTTCAAAGACATGCCTGTAAGGTTAGTTGGTTTCTCTAAATTGCCCTTAGGTGTGTGAATGAGTGTGTGCTTGGTTGTTTGTGTGTTGACCTGCGATGGACTGATGACCTGTCCAGGGTGTACCCCACATCTCGCCCTTAGACTGCTGGAGATAGGCACCAGCTTCCCCGCGACCCACTATGGAAGAAGCGGAATAGAAAATGACTGACAGATACAGAGGAGTTTCAAGCCACAGACATCCAAAGGCCCCCCAGAGCACAGGAACCGCAGGAGAACCACCACCAGGACTACCGCAACCCCCCCAGAGAAGAGCAGGGGAGAATCCCAGGGGAACCACCCAGCAGCCACAGTGCAGAAGCCCCAGGGAGCTGCAGCGGCTGTCTACGCCCGAGCAGATCCAGCCATGGACCCAGAGACCCGAGCCCCTGGGACATATCACTCCCCAAGCAGAGGCCCAACTGAGCCCAGGGGTCCAGGCCCCAGCAAGCAGCCACCGGGAGTGAGCCAGCACACACCAAAGCACTCAGCCCCGGATACCAAGAACCACAAGTACACCGGCAGGCAGAAATACCAACCACCGACAGGTAGTGTGGCAGGGAGGGAATAGGCCCCACATTCGATGGGGGCCTTAACTGATCCAGGAGAGGGAGCAGCCCAAGACCCAGCCTGACACAAAAACAGGCACACACAATCACAATCACACATTCCCACCCTCATGCGAACACATAAAAACACTCACACCCACGCACCCAACGTAAAGAAAAAACAAGAATGGACGTCGTACACTCTCTCACACTCCCCATACACACTCTATACTCCCAGATCCAGGTGCCGATACCCCATAGGGACAAACAGCCCCCAGACCCAGGAGGAGGTCCCCTTCCCTCCAGGGGTGGAGACAGGCAGACCGCCCCAGCACCTGAGCCCGGTCCGGCTCATGCCTGAACCTGAGCAAGCCTGGACCCCGACCACATGAAGCAAGCTGGCCAGCCCCTCCATCAAAGCGAAGCCACATTTCAATCAATACTACACACCGCCTGGCCAAGACCCCCTCACCGGAGCCCGACGCCTCCCCAACCGACGGACCGAGCACCGAAGCCGAGGACCGAGATCCAAGGCAATACAAACGATCCCGAGAGGGCCAAAGAGCCAGCACCAGAAACCCCCCAAGACCTGAACCTCAACCCCAGCCCAGATCCCAACCAGAAGGCCCGCTCCCTCTCCCGGCCTCCAACCCCAGATGGCAAACAGCACAGAGATCTAAATCCCTTGGGGCACCCCAATAATGCACCTGCACCCCAAGGCCCTACATGAGTGGTAGTGTGATGGAGTGGGTGGAGGGCAGTGTCCGGGGATGGGGAGGGAAGGACTGGGGGGCAAAATGCTCTCCCAGGGAGCGAGCTCCCCGGCTGACCCCAATAGGCACCCCCATTTGCCGAGTTCCAACAAGGGACGGAGGCATAGTCACATCCATCGGCAAAAGGCTAGGGACAGGGACCAGGCCCCGAGAACTGACCGAAAACCAGGACCAACCCCCCCAAACCCCCCAGAACCATCAAAACACCGATCACCAGCCCTGACACCCAGTCCCCTGCCCGAAGGAGCCACCAACCCCCAACAAAATGGAGCCAGCCAGAAGCGTGCGCAGCATCGACCAAGAGTGCAGACCTACCACAGAAAAAAGAGCACACCAGCCGGCCCAGCGCAACCAGAATACGCCACACAAAGGAGTGCAAATGACCAACATGCCCAACCACCCCCGAACCGCAGAGCCAACAGTTGCCACAACCAGGCAAGTGGGGCAACAAAACACGTCCCGCACCAACACCGAGGCCGCCAACAAGAAACACCCGACCCAAAATGGCAGGCCCACCCAAATCCAAACTCCGAGCCAGCATAGGCACATGCACGCCCCACAGACAAACGAGCGGAGACCCCCCGGGCAGCCAGGCAGTCAAGCAGACCCCGCGAGGCACCACCCTGCCCACCACCATGCCCAAGGGAAAGACACCAGCCTAACAAGCAGAATGGTGGCAAAGAAAGGCCACAGCATGCACAGCAAAGAGGCTGCACTCCCCCCCAAGGTGCAGAACCACCAACATCCATGCCAGCCAAGCAGAAACGACAGAGCCAAGCAGAACTGCAGTTCCCCACGAGCCAACGTCACAGCAACACCACACATCCTTCCATACATCGGTAGGGGCACGGTGAAGACCACCAACCCCAAGCACACACCACCCACCAGGAACCACCCAGCAGACCAGCAAACCCCACCTCAGCATAAGGCCGAGAAGCCCGATGCAACCGCCGAGCCCAGCAACGCCGGCCCTGCCGTACAAAACATGGAGGCCAGAGCCGCCATGCACAGGACCACCACCCCAACACCACAGCATGCCAAGCAGCAGAGGACAGAACGCAGCAATGAGCACCCAAAGCAGAAGCCATGTATAAAGCCCACACCATGCAAATGCGCCCCCACCAGCCCTCCAAAAACAAAGCCCCCTGCAAAAGTGCAACCTCGTGAGAAGACCCATAGCATCCAGGTCCAAGAACATGCCCGACCCCATACCCCTGCCTGAAGTAGCCCCATGAGAAAACCCACACCGAAGCCCACAAAAGGCCGAGAGCCCACAGAGCCAAAACCAAAACCCACCAAGAAGCCGAGACCAGTCCACCCTGTGATCAGCCCCAGCCAGCCAGCCCGCCCTCCAAACCATGCAGACACCTCCGACCCCCCTCCCCCAGACAGAAACGGGTCCGCGTCAGGAACCGGAATCTATACAAGGAACCAGAATCTGAACCGGAACCACCCAGGTCCAAACAATGCCCATCCCCACCCAAGGCTAACCACCCACCTCCATCCTGGAAGAAAACCTACACCCACCCCAACATTCGAACAACTTTCAGAACACATAAGACATTAGACACCCAGGTTGATTCTGCCCCACCAGCAGAGTGCACTCCTTGAAGGAGAGAGCACCTGCAATGAGATGGTACCTACCCGCCAGTTTAGGAGGCCCTTACGCCCACCGATGCACCGAAGGCCCCCGGGCCGGTGCCGGGTGCCAGAGCATGCGCCGGCCCAGAACCCCGGTGACATACCCGCCCGGACCCAAGCCCAGGGACCCCAGCCCAGGGACACCCCAAATGTCCCAAACCCAGACAGCCCCCCGCATACGTCACAATGCCCCACAGGACGAAGCCAAAGGTGCCCCACCCCACTGCGTGATGGAGCCGATTAAAGGAGCCCAGAGAGATTGATCTGATGTGGAGGCAGAGGCTGTCTCAAGACTTATATAATCCAACAGAAGGTTTCTGTACTGGTTAATATTAAGAAGGTTTTTATTTTTCC